ATTGGTTTGAACTGCCGACCTTGCACTTAGCTAGCAGTCCAATGCTTGTGCTACAGCGTCACACCAAGACTGTTTTGCACATAGAATCCTTCGATATTGGAACTCAAGGCTTGTTTGGGTTTTTTTCCTTCAGTTCTTTCAGCTTGAGAAATGTTGAGTATGTTCTTTCCTTTTGGTTTTCTAACTCCACATTTCATTATAATACTACTTTGTTTTTTCAAACTAGTCTTAGAAATTTTCTGCTAAGCTCTTTTGCTGCATCATTTCTTCCATTAGCTTTAGCTACTCAATTTTGCAATGTGGGTTAATGTGCTGGAACTACAAAGTCAGTTTGACCTGCAAGGTCAGTGGTTCAAGCTTACCAGCCACTCCTTGGAAAATCTATACAGGGTTACTTTGGGTTGGAACTGACTCAATGGCACTTAATGTTCAAGATCAAGGTTCAGAGTTTTCTGACATCCATCCAAGTGGCTAGAGCAGTCGGGTGGGTTTAGCTAGCAGTGAGCTTTTTGTCAGTGTACTACCAGGGTTCTTTACTGATAGAAACCAAAAATCTACACCCACTGTCACTGAGTCATTGCCAACTCAGAGCGACAACCCAGTGCAGGGTTTCTAAGACTGTAAATCTTTCTGGGAGCAGAAAGTCTCATCCTTCTTCTGCAGAGCAGCTGAAGGGTTTAAACTGCCATCCTTGTGGTTAGCAGTCTAGTATTTATCCTATGGTGCCACCAGAGTTCTTTTTGATAATAAGCGTACGTTTTGTTGTTGTTAGTTGCCATCGAGTTGGTGCAGACTCATAGCAACGCTATGCACGACAGAACGAAAACACTGCCCAGTCCTGGGCCAACCTCACAATTGTTGCCACGCTTGAGCCCATTCATGCTGCCAATTTGCCAATCCATCTCACTGGGTGTCTTCCTCTTTTTCTCTGACCCTCCACCTTACCAAACATGATATCCTTCTCCAGCAACTGATCCCTCTAAGGACATATTATAAACAACTTTCTATCAACAAATTCTTCATTTTAGTTTTGTTGTCTGAAATATTGACTGAGAAAGTATTCATATGTATTTTATAAGAATCAATTGATTTTAAATGGAAACAATATTTCAAATACTTAGCTGAGAAATCGCAGCATTTTATACCAATTCAAATATAGACAATATCTTTACTTTTCTGAAGCTCAGAAACACTTCCTTAAAAATTTCAAGCAACTGATACCTTTTATCAAGTTATAGAGTATTTGTTCCTGATTTTGCAAAATAATATACGCTAAAGTATTTTCTGGATTAAAGAAGAAACTTTTCAGCAATTGTTTCTCTTGTATATTATTAAGGAATAAAGTTTTGATTATTGTACTATGTGGTTTTTAAAATTCTCATGACCCTTTACGATTCTATAGATTTTCAGAAGAAAATAATGTAACTGTCAAAATATTAGTTTTTTTTCAACAAAATTCAACATAAGCAAAATGCATTTACATGAACTTATTAGTCATCTGAAAAATCTATTTAGCATAAATATGAATTACTAAAAACACAACAAAATGTGTTTATTTAATAGAAGTCATAGTTCTCTTAGCATTTAACACTTTGATTGAATAAATGCAACGAACTAATAACATTTGAAGTGTATTCTTCCATAGAGCTGGTGACCATCAGACTGGCCTTGCTCTAGATCAATGGTGGCAGTGGTGTGTATCATTGAGTGGGTTCTGACTCAAAGCAACCCTGTGTGTAGAGTTTCTGAGGCTGTGAGTTTTTACAGGAGCAGAAGGTCTTATCTTTTTCCCGTGGAGCAACTGGTCGATTCAAACTGCTGATCCTGTGGTTATCAACCCAATTCGTAACCCACTATGTTACAAGAACTCCTATAGATTAAGTGTTTTTGTTATGTGACATAGAGTCGGTTATGACTCATAGTGACCCTGTACAGGGTTTCTGAGGCTGTAAATTTTTACTGGAACAGAAAGCCTCACCTTTCTCCCATGGAACAGCTGGTAGTTTTGAACTGTTGACCCTGAGATTTGCAGTCTGATTCATAACCACTAGGAAAGTCAAATCTGTTAAGTCACTGTTTCTCAAATGTGATCCCTCTTATCACTCCAGCACAAGTAGAAGACATAGGACTTGGATGTGAGGAGTGATTTCTTATTTCATACATCTTTTAAATTGACTAGGATTCTTATTTGAACTGTGCATAAAACATGACTAAGTGTATTCTTCTAATGCTTCACACAGAAAGAGACAAGGAGAGAACCACATTATAGTGAGAGAGACTTCAGGGCAAAACAATTAGAAGGCAAGGCCATTATGTAGTAGGATAAAGATGCAAAGACCTATTTTTTTTTAAAAAGTGATACAAATAATCATTGGCTGAAGCAATTTTAAATTATTTCTGTTTACACAAGATTACCTTCCAACGCCTATGAAAAAATGGAAGAGAATTATATATATATATATATAAAGGAGCTCTGGTAGCGTAGTGGTTACGAATCGGGCTGTGAACCTTAAGGCCGGCAGTTCGAAACTACCAGCTGCTCCGCGGGAGAAAGATGAGG